CAACATTAAACAGCCTATAAATCAAAACGGCAAAACAATGTTACTGAATGAAGTGTCGACCCAGGATGAGATATAGGACTGTTTAAGCTTTGAGGGTGTTGATAGACTCGATCTACTCCATCAGTTTTGATTATCGTTCTGAATACAATCTAGACGTGGTCTATGATTTTCTCAGCTTTTTGCTCAAAATGTTCCTTTTTTATGAAACTTACCCACATTCAAGTGTTGATAAAAAAGAACCCATGAAGCTAGAATAAAACAGGGCTTTTTTTTGTTAATAAGAAGAGGCTCTTTCTTTTGATATATTGCATGTTTTGATATTCATACAACAAAATATTCTGGGGGCCATTAAACTTGTGAAAATGATCAAAATGCTGGCGGGGAAAGAGTTAATATATATATATATATATATATATATATATGTGTGTGTGTGTGTGTGTGTGTGTGTGTGTGTGTGTGTGTGTGTGTGTGTGTGTATTTTTTATATAGATCCTTATATTTGATCATTTCATAATTACCTGTATAAAATTAACATCCTAACAACCATAACAAGAACCCAAAAGAATTTGTTTGAAAATCAGACATCAGTAGAAAGGCTCCTCAAAGAACCAGAGGGATGTTGAAAGAGGAATGAGAAATAGAAGAAGTGAGAAAAGGTTGTTGGTAAGTGTTAAGAAGAGGGTTAAGAAGAGAGAGAGGGAGAGAGAGAGAGAGAGAGTGGGAAAGAGCAAGAGAAAAGACATGATATAAATAATAGCTGGGATTTAATATGTATGAGGCGTCCGGGCAGTTGTCCACAACACTCTCTCAGTCTGCTCCTGACTGATGGGAGAGGAGCAAGAGAAGAGGACGAGGAGGAGGAAGAGATGGGGAGGAGGCAAGGTGATGGGTCTGCATACTAATCAGCCTAGGATCAATTTCCCACCCCATACGCCCCTCAATATTTCCCAGATGCTGTGGCTCTGGCCGTGGAGAGGAGACGAGAGGCTAAGCTCCTAGACCTCCATCTAGGCCTGAAGCTTTGGCTTCTGTAGGGCAAGCAGTCTGGAGGCAGGCGTATCATACCGCTTTCAAGGTTCCTGACCCTGGTAATCCGCCTAAGGAACCCTACTGTCTTTTCAAGAGGTCACAAGGATTAACCAGAATGGATGGCTCTATCTATGATGGCGTGTCATGACCTCTGACACAAGGTAACAAGTGGGGTCTTGTGCTTACAGTTAATGTATTTCCTCCTGTGTTGACCTTTAGAGACCCAGACAGAGGCCGGTGTGAAGGACCGTGGCCGTGTAAACTCGACCAGACAACAATAGAGTGCTGCAGTGATGGCATATTTTTGTAGACCAACCTGGAAGTTAGCATCACACTGGTTCCCTCGACAGCAACCCAATAGGATTTTTCTATTGCTTTAGGATTATCGCAAAAAAAGAAGCTCTGTGATCAACAAAAGTTTATGATACTGACACGTTTTGTCCATCAAGACAATTTTCGCAAATGAATTCTAAATAATAATATACGCACATCCAAAAACTTTAAGCAGGTGCATGATCAGATAAAGAACTACACTAAAGAATCAACAAAAATCCTTTTGCCAACATTGCCACTGCTGCTCCCAAAAATCAATTTAATAAAATATATACAAATTAAGCCTAAATACAACTGCCAGAAATAAGGCTTAAGACTATAAACAAACTATACCGCGGTTGCTCGACTTCAACGTCAATACCACTAAGCTTCCGACAACTCTTTCAGTCTCTATTTAAAAAAAAAATATATATATAAAAACACATTTTCACTAAAAGTTTGAGCAGTAATAGTTTGCAAGAGTGCAGACTAGTGAGTAGATAAGTTTACCTGTTTGGCTGATGGCATTTAATGTCTCAAACACTTGTTAGCAACCACCTTTTTTAAGACACGTAAAAGCACACTTGACTGAATTGATGTTTCTCGTGATTTTAAACACCTTTTGACCTTATGCTTACATTTTTTTTTACATTTTGAATACGTTTAAAAACAGCTGTTGCATTTTACCGTGCATCACTGGTCAATCTATCAATTAGAGTAACAAATCAACAATTCCTTATTTTATTTTTAGTCCTTAATACACTAAAGGAGGCTGTACTGTACCAACTACCTCAGAGGGGACTAAATGCCGCTAGGTGGAACAAACTGTAATTTGCACTACTGTCTGGTCAGAATAAATGAAAAGTTCTGACTGGGACCAGTGCAAGGGAGGACATTACACCAATCCTGGAAAAATTGCACTGGCTTCCTGTTAGTTCTCGTATTGATTTTAAAATTCTCATGCTCACCTATAAGGCCTTGAATAACTTGGCCCCTCAATATTTGTGTGAGCTCTTAACCCCCTACAGTCCTACACGTGCTTTACGATCTTCTGAAGCTGGTCTTTTAACTGTCCAAACAACACGGCTAAAAACTATGGGTGATCGGGCTTTTTCTTCTTTGGCTCCTAAATTGTGGAATTCCCTGCCCTCTGAGATTAGGAATGCAGTATCCCTTAGAGTTTTTAAATCGTCCCTTAAAACTTACTTTTTTAGGGTGGCTTTTATGTGATTCGTGTGATTGCTGTGTTTGTTATTATATCGGCCTTCTATTTTTATTGCTTGTTTAGTTTTTACTGCCTAGACTGTTGTGTATCTTTCTAATTTCATTATTTTTATGTGCTTTGAGAATGCTACTTTTAAAGGCACTATATAAAATAAAGTTTATTATTATTATTATTAAAAGATTTTTCCTGTTGTACTGAACTCGTATCGAACCGTGACCCCAAAAACCGTGACTTCGGTATTCCGTCACACCCCTACTATATACATTACTTTTGTCTGCTATGTATTTTTTATGCGTTTTACATCGATAGCTATCGTCAAAGAGTTGCATGTCTTGTGCGCTTCATGTAAGTATCACATTGTAGTACTAGTATTTTGTGTGGCATTGGTTTTTTTTTTTTCTGTGAACTGTTCCAAAATAAGTCATGTATGAATTAATTTTTTCAATTTGGACGCTGCCTAAAGGTGTGAGGCTGAAAGTTTCAGATGCATTCGGTGTGTTGACCAACAGAAAACTGCTTGGTTTAAAAGAGACTTCTGTGTGAGCTGTGCTTCATACATCGCTACACTGTTGACATTAGACAATGGACCTTTTTTTGCCTGTGAAATTTCACTAAAAATATGCTAATGTGATGCACCTTTAGAAGGTAGTTCCTTGTAAGCAGTGAGCATTGAAAACTATGCCTCCTGCTTGTGCAGGTATTCAGGAATCAGAATTCGTCAATAATGAAACAGCAAGACGCCCATAAAAGGGTTGACCACTCACAATTCCACTTGTTTTCCTCAACCAACCAAACTCATTCACATCTATTTTCCCTCCTAAACTCACTATCTGTCTTCCCATCCCCCCTCAGACCCATCCGAAAGTGTGTTTGTGTGTGTGTATTCTTTTTTGCCACACAATCAATGGGGCTTTTAAGATGTCTATCGATTTGTTCCCGAGACAGACCCCGGCTCGCTGGAGCGACGCTTTGATTGCTGTGCGAGTAATTACTGTTATTATTTATGCATCTGGGTGAAATGGCAGGACTTAACATTCCCTGTACAAGAGGCCACAGGCAATCAACAGAGAGAAAGCACCTGGAGAGGCGAGAGAGAGGAAGAGAGCGGGAGAAATGAGCACAGGGACACAGGGAAATTCACAATACGCAAAAAACACAACCATAGATGAACACAGATGAAAGTATATCGCTGGGGTTTAATAGCATAAACTAGGGCTGTCAACCGATTTCCGTTTTCAATCGAATTAGTTACACAATAGTTATAACAATAACTGCATATTCAATATTTGTCCAAGTTAGATGCATATTGATCTTTCACACAAAAAGCGCCTCATCTATTTTTACAAAAAAACAATACTAAAATGTATTATGTATATTCATTTTTAAAGTCCCCCTGCAGTCAATAATTGTATCCCTTAAAACTAATCTTCGATAATCAAAATGACATGGCTTAAAATAGCTTGAATGCAACTCTTGTACCCTTGCTTCATATAGTACATGGATCAATGAATATGCATATTAGTCCCCGCCTCCGCTCAAAGCAGCTCAGAATACCTGATCCACTCGGTCTGTTGTACCGACACAAAGTGCCAAGTGGAAATATTGGTTTGATTCAGCCGTATATGTTTGAACAAGAAGCTGATTCAGAAGAAGAAATGGAAGAGTGAATTATACAGACTCGTCTGTAAGTCGATGTATCAGAATGTTAATGTGTTTTATGTATTGCTCTATACGTCGGACACATAACGGTAATTGACATGATTAGCCTTTGGCTTGACTACATTATGAAACAGCTAAAAGTGTGTTGCTAATGTTACACAAACCATGTTCCCGTTCGCCATCTCAGAATCAATCAGCTGCCTTCTAAAAATCAGCATCCTTAAAATGCTTTGAACAACTGAACGTCGGTGGAGAAAAGCATGTAGTTCATCATAACATCGAAATATACATCTTATATATAATTCACCTGCTATATTGCTAAATGTACCCGATTTGTCCCTTCTTAAAGATGTTCTTGTGCTCACTGTGGAAAAGCCCCACTCCGCACGTTGACGAGATTAATTACATGTTTGTGGCGGTAGGAAACAATGTTTTTGAGACTGTCTTTGGTCCACTGCTGTTTTAAGGAGAAAATACTCAGCAATGGTGTTGACTTATGAATTTGCACATGGTTTGTCTTTTAAAGGCGTTTGGAGGCCCTGAGGATGGTCTTGTGACCGAAAGCTTGGCGATTAAAATTGCTTTAAAGGATTCAAGTGTGCAGACAGTTTATTTATTTTCACATGGTTTGTCTTAAAAGCATTTTTTTTTAAAACCCACATAGACATAAACGACATTGAAGTGTTACCAAAATAATTAGTTGCACTAAATGAACACATTAAATGAACAGCCCAAGCATAAAGAACGCTACAATGTGTAAGCATTTCCGTCTCACCTGTGAAAGGCCAAGGTAGATGGACACAGTCTCTGAGATATACAGAAATCTGCCTTCTTGACTGACCACGAACACAAATCCATCCAGAGACTGCAAAGAGAAAAACACATCTGTAGCTGAAACTTTACATGTACTTTAGTATGTTACTCAACACATCAAAATAAGTGTACTTCTTTAAAGCCTGACAAAAGATTATTCAAACATTTAAAATGTACTATAAAACTTAATTTGACATTATTACACAGTGCACTCAAGTGTGTTAAGTCATGAAAATGTACTCTAAGTACACTTAAGTGAACTTATTTTATTAATATTGTATTATCTGCATTTATAGATTTTCAAAAAAAAAAATGCTTTTAAGATTTGAAGTACACTATAAGTCCACATGCAATACAATTAAGCAAACTACTTTTTCACAAGGATTGACTGTCCTACCTAAAAGTAAGTTTTGCACAACACTACACAATCACAGCCAGTCAGAATATCTGATGTTTAATATGAAATCAATCAAGTTGAAATGACTTTCTTCTTCAGCTGATGTCATCAGACCCACTTATTTTAAATTTATTTTATTATTTTTTACATATAGACACCACTTTTCATGATGCAATGCCTAAAGGATAAAATCAAGTTTTTTCCCCTCTTTAGTTATCATCTTTCACTTAGAAATGTCACCTTACGGATGTAAAATTGGTTGTGAATGCTGTTTGAGATGTCGTTTAACACTTCAGTGGTGTAACACTTCAAACTTAAACTAAAACTAACCAACAAATAAACCCTGAACCAACAGAATCAATACTGCTGAACAAATCTCAAGATTTTTATGGAATCAAGTCTATGGCTGTAGACATAAGGGAAGTATCAAATTGATTTAGACAGAAACCACAACAGCTTCCCCTGACTTCAAAATAAACTGGTACACCAGAACAGCGCTTGACAGATAAAAAGCATACAGTCACCCAATTAAAGGACTAATTTAAAGAATAATATTAATTGTAATCACACACAGGCACGAGTGAGGCAGAGTGGGCACTTTAGTTGAGAACGACGGATGTTGTTGCAGCGGTAATTTATGCAAGTGACGAGTTCACTATGCAAATGAGAGTGGACCGGAATGACGGGAATGGCGGAAATAAAGCGCAATTATCTAGTTATTACTGACAGAGGACGAGACAAAGAATCATAAGGATTTTTAGAAGTTTTAATTTGATTTCTATCAGCGCCGCCCCTCTTTGAACATTTGACTTTTTTCTCAAGGTAACCCTTCTAATAATAATAAAAAAAGTCTCTTTTTCTTCTTCTTTTTTTAAAGTCAGACAGCCAAATTCCATTACTGATGGCATATTGCTCATAATTTTAAACAAGACATATTTACAAAAGCGACCTCAAACCAGTTCTGACACAACAAGACATTTATGCATGCATGAATGGAGTTGCATTAGGAAATGCAGCATTAGATACTGTAAAAACTGTAATATTGTGAAATATTATTACCATTTAAAATATGTTTTAAAAAGTAATTTATTCCTGTGATGGTAAAGCTGAATTTTCAGCATCATTACTCCAGTCTTCAGTGTCACATGTTCCTTCAGAAATCATTCTAATATGCTGATCATAAAATCAAATGAAAATTTCAGCATTTATTTGAATAGTGTTGTAAACAGTTTCCACAAAAATATTAAGCAGCAAATAATAATTTAATTGTAACATACTGTAAAAAGATGAAAACATTGATATCTGTAAACGCACATAAATGAAACTCATATTTACATATTTATTTTATTTAAATGAGTCATATTTACCTGCAGTAGATGAGCTCCCATGTGCTGTTCAAATATGTCAGTGACCAACGAATGACTTGTTCTTCGTACTGCGTAAAAAAAACAAAAACAAAAACATGCAATCACGTGTTTTAGAAGCTGTTTAAAGCCAATCGTCTGCCATTTCTAAAAACAGGATAAATGTACAATGAACTACAAAATAATATTATCTATATTAATACAATGACACCCACAACAACTTGAAACAGATCAATAAATCACTTAATTTAGTCTTAAATGTAACTTTTAAATGGTATTACTGTGATGATATTCTCAAACATATTCATAAGCATAAAGAAGAGTTCCAAGCTCTTTAACAAAACAAAGCAGAACAATATTCTCAAACACATCTTGACAGTCACACTCTTTGGTTACTACAGGAGGAAACAGCTGATAATAGCATTAAGCAGCTGTTAATACACCCTTCCAGTTCTTTACTGGTATTTCAGAGAGACTATCAAAGACAGCGAGCGTCAGAGCCGCTGAGGTTTATTGGGCTGATAACACAGACAGAGACATGCTAATTCATCCTCAGCGCACAACTGCATCCTGGGCCGCCTGTCATCACAAAACAAACAAATTTACAAATCACACAAATGACATTCGTGGTGCATTTTAAACATGCCTCGCTCTGATCTTCCGCTGTGGAAGCCCAGTTGAAATTCCCTGCACTCACAGCAGGACGTGTGTGTGTGTGTGTGTGTGTGCGCGGCTGGGATGCTTGTGGCAATCAATAAGTGTTTTGAGAGGATGACAGCGTTTGTCTGAGTTGCTACTAAACGGAAGACGGACTGTGAGCTCACTTCTATAAACCTTTTTCCCGTGGTACTCCTGCCACAATACAAGTGTTCGCCTGACAAAATACACACCTTCAGAAAAGCGACGTGAACAGATACTGAAATGAAAGGTCTTTTACACCTAAAATGCCACTTTCACCCTCTTGTCAACCCTTGTGAAAAACAGGTGCACTTTAACACACTCAAAGAATTAGCCTCTTAGAAAGAGTAATTACTACTGAAATGAAATACTATGAAATAATATGAATTATACCATGGTCTGTATGAATACTGGATTCTGATTGGCTGGAAGGTGTGCAATAATACAGTTTAATGCACAGGTAGTTCCAATTCAGTTTAACTTTCAGTAATAATAGCTTCGCTACTGAATCACTACATTATATTTCTTAGCAACGAGGGGGTTACATCACTATATGGAAGTAATTAAAATCACAGCTTTGTTTTCTAGCCTAATAGAGAGAGAGATGCTGAACAGATGGATGTGTGAATCTCTCTCTCCCTTTTTCAATAATTAATTCAAATAAATGTAATCTTACGCACTACTTTATCTCTGTGTCTGATTTAAAGCGGACAGAATGTTAGATCTAACTGTAGCCGTAACTGATGAAAATAACCGTAAATTTTACCCTTCCGGACAATCAACTGCAAGTTACGTGCAATGTATTATAGTTTAAATTTGTATTAAATGCAATTAACTTAACTTTAAAGTGCTTTTTTTACTTGCTTAAGTAGGACTTAAGTACATCTTTTCATATAATTTAATAATTATTTCTTTGATCGTTGAAATGTGTTTACTGTCAAATGTACTGATAAACATTTATGGTCAACTAAAATAAACTTTAATGTTCTATGTAAACTTGTATGTTAATTATTTAAAAATATCTGTAATGACACATTTATAGACCTTATGTGCCAGAGAAACAAACACGCAAAATCTTTCGAATGTTGTGTTTTGACCTTCTGTTTTTTTGCAGAAGCTTTGTATGGCATCGCTGTCGAAGAGTAATTAGCTGGTGGGTTTACTTATTGTCGAGTTAACAAAGTATTGTTTGATATGTTTGAAGCAGATGTCAAAATAAAAATTAGTAGACCGGGAAGTTTTTAAAACGAGTGGTTCATTCATAAATCCGTAAGATCTTACCTTCATGCTGTGGAAATACAAACTGCGCAGTGCTGAAAAAGGGAGGGGCTAATGTTGCAATTCCAATACATTTACAATAAATTAATTTTGAATTATAACACACTATAGATCAAATTCAAATCAAGTAATTGTGCTTTAGTATGTTAGTCAACACATCAAAATCAGTGGACTTCTTTTAAGCACAACAAAATATTAAAAAAAATATTTAAAACGTACTTTAAAGTAAAACTTTGCATTTGATGTAAAGTGCACTTTTTAAATTGTGCACTACAAGTGCACATTCAATAAAATTAAGCACACTTCTCTTTCACAAGGGAATCCAAATCTGTATGACTGTCATTATTACTCATTTGATAATCTTCCTCTCTTTTGTAACTCCTTAATACGCAAAAAACGCAATCACAATTTAATATAATTTAATATAGTTATATGGACCACTTTTATGATACTTATTATGGTGCTTTTTTGTCATTTTTGAAACAGCCCTTGTCCCCTTTTATTTTCATGTGGAAAAAGAGCAGCCAGAACATTTCACAAAATAGCTCCTTTTGACTTCCACTGAAGAAAAATAAAAGTGTATAATGACATAAATGTGAATCAATTATGACCGTTTTAGTTATTTATTTTTTGGTAACAATTCTTTAAACATTAGAACTCACTGAAAATATCACACATAGATGAGTCCCTGCACCCAAACTACACACCCCAACACTCAGTGGCACTTTAAGAATGGGGTCCCCTCACAGGAATATCAATGAGTCTGTCCCATTCAGAGGCCTGAAAAGGGGGTCTGGCGCAGAAAGCGGGATCACCACTCAGTACTTGTGGGTACACAGAGCACTGCTTGTTCGTCTTTGGGGGTCACATGCGTGTTGACGACTGAATAGTTAAGCAACCCCCCTCATCCAAACACCGTGGGTCTTCCCACAGGGCTGTGAGTGATGCAGTCGAGTTATAGGGCAGGGCCTGACAGAAGCCATACTGCCTGATGGATGGACAATAGTCGGCCCTCATTTCCCAAAGTCAGTCGCAACAGCAGAGGCTAATGCGAAGTCGAACCGGGCCCAATAGGGCAGAGGATGAGAATGATGGTGATGTTCCTCAGACTGGGGGTCCAGAGGATCTATTTGATAAAGCAAATCTGTTGGTATTGGATACTTAAATGATTTGTCTTTTTTCATGTGTATATTTTAATGATTACAATTCTGTCATGACAACTCTCTGAGAGATTGGCATGGTAATAGAGATTGGCATGGTAATGGATATGGCAATGTTAATGTATTTGGTCTTGGGGGGAATAGATCTGCTACGCTGCTGCAGTGCAAGTACCGAGACTTGCTACTGCCATTACATTCACAGAGATTGCTGTGAGCAAGTAAGACATGCTGCTGCTACTGCACATGTAACATACAGGAATTAACCCCCGTATCAGATCTATACAGGTGGAGCTGGGGAAGGTGGAGGGTGTCTGGAAGCGCGCTGCAGACTGTTAACAGCAACACTACCGGTATTTGAATGTTGAGCTGCAGCTCATGTGATCGCTACCAAAAAAGTTGCCTGCGCCATCTAGAGTTTCACTGATGATGCGTCCCAGCGCATCCGTAGGATGTATCTTTCAACATATATAACATTTATTTATATTTATTTAAAATATTATATATTTAACTTATGTATATATATATATATATATATAAAATATCTTGTATATATATATACATACATATACACACACACAAATTAAATCTTGCAATTAATAAGACAAGATTTAAATATTACAATTATAAACAATTACAATTTACAACTTTAGGAAATACTTGTTTTCAAGGCATTTATTGATTTAAACTTTGTTCTAAATTGTTTTAAGCATAAACCTCTCAAAATTGTGTTACATTAAATATGAAAGATTCTCAATATTTAATTTGAACAAATGTTTTATCATCTTACACAATAATGTCAATAATTTTGACTAGAAAACAAGGCAAATCATTTTCTTCTATTTCTTCAATTCTGTCAGCTTTCATCTCATTTAGTACATTTTTATTTTCCTTATGGAATTTTTAGAGAAACATTTCAGAGCAAGTTTTTAAACATGAATCCTAACTGAGAATGAGAAATCTCTGCGTGATAACAGGTTCATGTTAATTCCAGCTTGACTCGTGGGTCAGCTTTGAGGGTCTTTGGGACGTTGAAGCACAATAATGAATGAAATAACTAAAGTCATTTGACTTTCTTCTCCTCCACACTCAGCTCATTTTGACTCTTTCATTTATTTCCTCTTTTCCTTCTCCCCCTCCTTCAAGCTGACAACCTTTTAACAAAGTTCGAAGGTTACTATGGAAACTGCAAGGTTGGCCTTTCATTCCATGTTCGCTTGCTCAGTCCAGTTGGCTGATGGGAATCGTAGGCCGATCGCCTAGCAACTTTTTTACAGGGCTGTGGATGTAAAGCGTTCTGTGCTCCCCCACCTCTAACCTCACGTATGAGACAGGAGGAATGACTCTCAGACAGACGAAAAGAGGCAGAGAACGCGTCTCCAGTCGCAATGTCCCTCTCCGCTGCAATTATCATTTCACTCTGCCATCCCTCCCTCTCTCGCTCTCCCTCTTTCTAAGCTGTTACCTCTCCTAGCACGGTCGAACATAATTTGAGTGCAATTAACGTCCTTTAAAAGCCCTCAGTGCTTTAAATGCTTGAAAATAGGAGAGACAGACAGACATAGAGAGCTGGCAGGAGGGAGAGTAAGAGAAACGAGTGAAAAGGAGAAAGAGAGAGACGCTGTGAAAGTAAAAAAAAAGACTGTGTCACAGAGAGTGCGAGACCTGGACAAAAGGAAATGTGTGTGAGTCAGAACTTAATCTGAATTCCAAAACTGTATAAACATTGCAGCGCTGATCTAAGCTGACAACATTTCATCTTTACAGTTACAATAATAGCTGCATTTTTACAATATCTGAAGACAATGTGATCGGTGCTTGCCAAAACTCAGCACCACATTATTGAATCATAAAAAGCTTTTGCTTTTGTCTTGTTTCACATTAAAAACATCCAAACATCTTTAAAATATGATACATGTACACGAGAAGCAAAATTGTGAAATATAATACAACAAAGA